CCACCACCAAAGTTTGCTCCTCCACCACCACTGCCGCCACTGCCGGCGAAGAATCCCGGCTCGAGCATTGCCTGCATCAGCATCGCCTGGCTCTGGTCAATGGCCGCCGCCTCGGGGTTGTACGGCTCGTGGTCCATGAAGGCGGCGGCGGCGGCAGCTGACTGCTGCTGCTGCTGCATGAAGGTTGACGAGGTGGCGTGACTGAGGTGCCGTGACTGAGGCTGATAGTGCTGGGGGTGATAGCTGCCGAGCTGCTGCTGATGATGGTGATCACTTCCGGTGGTTGCTGCCAATGCTGAAGTGGAAATGGCACCGTCGGAAGATGCCTGCTGCTGCTGAAAATGGCGGTGATCATCCTCAGCCTGGTCCAGTCTGCCCTCACCTCGGTCACCCTCAACCTCCGCTTTGACGTTTGGCTTCTTCTCATCGGAAGACGAGGTGGCGGCGGNTGAAGCAGAAGTGGCAGAAGTGGAAATGGCACCGTCTGAAGATGCCTGCTGTTGAAAATGGCGGTGATCATCCTCAGCCTGGTCCAGTCTGCCCTCACCTCGGTCACCCTCAACCTCCGCTTTGACGTTTGGCTTCTTCTCATCGGAAGACGAGGTGGCGGCGGCAGGGGCGTTCATGTCGAGATCATGTCGAGTGTCACTCCAGGCGGTGGAGATGTCCTCCTCCACCGAGGAGGAGGCGTTTTCCGTTTTGACGGTCGGCTGAGCATTTCCTGAAGTTGCCGAAGATGATGATGATGAAGTGGTCGCCGTCGAGGTGGACGACTGTTTCTGCTGATGTTGCTGTTGTTGTTTCTGCTTCGAGGTAGTGTCCGCAGCAGCCTGCAGCAGCAGCTTGTCCATGTCAATGTGCGCCAGGCGGTCAAAGTCGAAGATGTCCGGACTGGGGCGACCAGTTCCAGCAACACCAGAGTTCGACACACTTGCCGATGGCTTGTACACCGCCTGTGGTCGATAGCTTTGGCTTTGGCTCTGGCTTTGCTGACCTGGCCCATCATTTCCGGCGTCCTGAGATCGACGACGACGACTGCTGCTGCCACTGCTGCTGTACACTCCTCCTCGATTGCCTGCGTTTGAGCTAGAGCTAAAGCTTGCAAAGTTGGAAGAGGAAGAGGAAGCATTTCGCCGGTCCTGGCGACTGCTGCTGGAGCGATGGTTGCCACCGCCGCTTGAACTGCTAGGCTCATAGGCGTTCCCGCCTCGGTAGTTGGCTGCCGAAGTGGAGCTCGCTGAGTTTGAGGATGTTCGGTAGCTGTTGCTGCTGTTGTTGTCGTTGTTGCCATAACGTGATCCACGGCTGGACGTATACTTGGAGGAGGAAGAGCCACTTCGAGACGGAGAGGTGGCCTGCTTTCGATCACCTCGGTCACCTCCACTGCCGCCCTGCTTTGAATTGCTTCGCCGATCACTATGATGAGCAGTAGCAGCATTTCTTTGAGTGGATGAAGAGGAGGAGGTCATTTTTGAAGAAGCTGTGGCGGTAGATCGTCTGGAGGAGGTGGTGTTTGCCCGTTGATCCGAAGAGGAGCTCTCATCATTACTGCTGCTGCTGCTGCTGCTGCCGCTCTTGTTGCGGTTTCTGGATCGATTACCTCGAGGGTTACCATCTACCTCCTTCTCCTCCTCCTTTTGACTGTACTCATCATCATCATCCTCATCCTCATCGCTGCTGCTCGAACTGCGACGGTGGTGGTGATGGTGGTATCCTCGGTGGTGATCACGACTGCTGTTGCCGTGATAACGGTCTGAAGACGACTGACCTCGATTGTTGCTGCTGGTGGCATTGCGACCAGCGGAAATTGTTGAAGAGGAGGAGGAGGAGGAATATTGCTGATTTCCGCCCTTTGAAGAGCTGCTGCTGCTGCTCGGTTTTCCCGTACTTCCCGCTTCAGCACTTTGTTCAGCCGCCGACTGGGCGGCAAAGAGGCTGTGCTGCGGCTCCAGCGGTGGCAACAGTGACGACGGATGGGTCAGAACCATTTTGATGGGTCCACTTCCGCCTCTTCCGCCACCACCACCACCACCACTGCCACCACCTTCTGAAGAGCTGACCATGGATGAGGGCATCGAGGAGGAGGTGGAGGAGGAGGATTCAGGACCAGGACCAGTCGAATATAGACCACCACCAAGGGATGTGGCGGAGACAATCTCGTAGGTACCACCGAGATCAGCATTGCTGCTGTCAACGTAGAACGGTTGCTGACTGCCGATTGTTGCCGACGACGACGATGACGAGGACGACTGTGCACGTCGCAGGTCCACGTCGCCGAAAGCCGTGCTCGAAGTCGTTTCCGAGGAGTTGGCCTGCTGCTGCTGCTGCTGCTGCTGTTGATGCAAACTGGTTGAAGAGGTCGCCGGCTGATAAGGATGGTGGGGGTGGTGGTGATAACTGGACGAAGACTCTACGTTCGATTTTGAGTAGGAAGAAGAAGAGGAAGAAGAGGAAGAAGAGGAAGCACCAAAGTCGGAGCTCTTTTGAGCACGCTTTTGAGCCGCCTTTGAGGACGACTGGCTGATGGTGGCGGTGGTGGACTCTGAGGAAGCGTAGGAAGAACTGGCGGAAGGTGTTGTTTCAACACTTTGAGTGCCACTTCTTCCGGTTTGTCTGCCTCTTTGCTGCTGCTGCTGACTTGACTGAGCATCCTGTATGGAGTCTACTGCTGGAGGAGAGGCGGATTCCGGCTGGCCGCGATGTCTAAGAAAGCTCTGACTCTTGATCACCTCAAAGAGGGTGTCCACGAAGCTAGTGGTCTCATTGCCGAGAAAGATGTCCAACTGCTTGAGACACTTCTGTCGAAGGGCCTTCTCCTTGTTCTCGCCGGCGCTGGTGGCGGGCGGTTTCTGAATCAGCGCAAGGACGTACTTGGAGAGGACCTGTGGGTCGGCTTCGGAAGATCTTTTAGGGCAAAAAATTGATGATAATTTAGTTTTGATTGATTATAGCTAGTAAAACAAACTCTTCAACAAACACACTTACATTGGCGTCAGATGTTCAATGAGCCACTGCTTGAGCTCCTCCGCATGCTCCATTACGTTGTCCATGCTGATGAGTTATGATGACACGCAGAGTGATCTGATAGAAGATAGTAGAAGGTAAGCAGAACAGTGTTAGTGAGCAGTGTTTCAAATTGGCTAATCACGAAAACTAATCAAGCGGTAAGCTGTTGCAACTTTTTTCTCCTTTCTACTTCATTTCTATCTATATTTCGTCTCTTCATTGACACATCACAGTCAATGTCTCTCTTTTTTTGTAGCGTTTAATCTTAATTGCCTAAAATGGACGCGTGTGAAAGTGACGGCGACAAATGTGAGATGTGAGACAAGGTGAAAAAAGAGAGAAAAAGTTATTACAATTAAAAAGAAAGAGAAAGTGCAAAAATGAAAAACATTCATCAACTGGAAAGTTAAACATTTAACGTACAAAAGAGCAAAGGCAGCAACTCTAAAACCTCGAAACAGATCACTGACAGATAACGTCAAATTAAAAAGTTTTGGTAACAAATCTAAGATTAATTGAAATTGCTAGCAAAAGTACTTTTATAGTGCGCATTATTAATATTCACAAAAAGTTAATTTAAATTTTTTTTAAATTCAAGTAAGACTACTCTAAAATGGATGAAACTGTATTAATTGTTTTCTAAATAGTGCCGTATAAATACAAACAGCAACTATGAACTAAACTTTTACAAATGTTACAAATGACATTTTTAACTATAACTTCAAATGAAAATTAATGGTTTACTATATTCGCTTGTTGTTTGCCACTCACTATTCTACTAGCCCAATAAGTTGCTAAGCAAACAAGTACAAATCAATAAACTTCTTTTGCAACTAGACCTTGTTAAATATTGAGTTTGTGTCAAAGCACAACAAAAACTTTAAAAAAGTTTGACTCAAACTGCAAGCTAAAACAAACTTTTGTTTTCAAATTCAAAAGTTTTTGCAATTTGAAAGATAGAAAGGTAGGTCAACTGCTAAATAAATCATAGCTAAAAATTTGTTACTGGCACGTTAGACCGGTGCAAACCGACGCACTGAAAGAGAGAAAGTGGAAAGTTTTTCATTACCATCAGTGTTAATTAAAAACGCTAAAATTAGTTGTAATGTACTAAACATTTGCATAATTCCTCTAAAATGGGTCAAAATAGATTGACGCAACGTACCAGTACCTTATACCGGCCGGCCAAAAAGAGAGAGACGACAGTCACAAGAGCAGCAGCTCTATTGGCGGCAAAACCCGGTCATAAACACACATGCACACACACACACACGTTCACACATTCACGCAAACCTTTCGTGTACTTTAAAAATTGATGACTGCCTTTCTTCTTCTTATTTTAGAACTCTGTTTAGTAGAAATCTGACTTGAATGAATAGCTCGTAAAGAGCAAAACATACGTACAGCTGGAGAACACTTTAATGACCACTTTGATGTGATGGTGGTAGTAGTGGTGGAGAGAGGATGATGAAAATGGTGGTGATAAGGGGACACCGGCAATGGTGACGGTACTTGGTCTAAACCCGAACTTGAAGTTTACCGACGTTTGAGGCTTTCTTTGCTGCTGCTGCTGCTGCCGTTGCAGCAATGGCCACTTTGCGTCTGCGCTTGCTGGTATATTGGAGAAGATAGAGATAAAACGAGAGAGAGAGAGAGAGAGAGAGATAAAGAGAGCGAAAGAGAAAAAACAGGAGCGTGAGCAGGATGGCTTCTTCCGTGGTTATCCTCACTGTAGTGTGTGTGTAGTGCAGTGTCTCTGTATATGTGAGCGTCTGTGGCGTGTACAGTGCAGTGTGTATAGCAGAAGGGGGGAATAACAGTGAAAAGAGAAAAACAGAGAAAAAGAGAAAAAGAGAAAAAGTGGGAGAAAAAAAGTGGGGGCAATCTCGATGGCAACGACGGCGGTGACGACCACAACCACGACAACGACGCGTTCACAGTCGCTTGCTCACAGTTGCCGATGTTGCCGCATAGTGCAGGCAAAAGGCGAAGGGGATAATCGGCGCTGAACAGAACTGAGCTGAGCGACAGCGGGAGAGTGAGAGTGAAACCAGGGAAAAGTGAATGAGAGAGAGAGAGAGAACGCGCGCTCGCTCTCTCTCTCTCTCTCTCTCTCTCTCTCTCTCTCTCTCTCTCTCTCTCTCTC